ATCACGAAGAGATATGTCAAGTTTATGGTGTTGATTGCTTAACAGAACGCATGTGTCAGAACTGATTTAAAGAGTTTAGTTCTTGAGATTTTTCAATTGAAAATGACCAACATTCTGTCCGACTTTAGATGGCACGTAGAATATCAATACACATAACCCCTTTATCCGAACTAAATCAAATGAAAAACCAAATCTTTTATCATATATAATAGATCACACTCTTTAGGAACACTTGGATTTTGGAAATTGATTTCCATAGATCTTGCAGTAAATTTTGAAACATATACTCCTAACTATGTCCTAGTATATTATATTTTCTCTATTATAAGCCTTGCTTATTGCAAAATAAATATCAAAATATTCCTTGCAATAAAATAATTTATTTCAAAAGTGTTATTCATTAACTCATATAATAATTTGGACTCTTGAGAATTTTGTCAATGAAAATACTTCACAAAAACTATCGTCTGACTTTGGAAATTATTGCTTGTTTTAGCAAACTATAGTAACACTTCCTTATTTGAAGTAAACATGGCAAGCCGCTGCAAGTTAATGGCAAGTGTTCGAAATTTTAACTATTTACGATTTTAAATTTTTAAGATAATAAAATATTAAAATAACAATCTTTGATGTTTGTTTGTTTAAAAAAATGATGATTCAAACAATTCTTGGTGGAAAGCATTATCCATGATGCAATATTATTGATGAAAAACATACTCCTTGGTATAAAACGACTGTCTTTAATGTATTAAAATGATGGAAGTTCTGTGAAACTGTTCAAAATATCTTAAAGTCGGTGCAACATTTTAAGTTAACACGAAGGAATCGAAGATTTACCCTATGAAAAATCAAACACAACTCAAAAACTAGTGCTGTAAAATTTGCAGCGGATTTAGAAAAACGGCTTTCAGCAAAAATTAACTCTGAAACTGTTAAAAGAGTCGCTAGGATACATGAACATAACGGGCGCTTAGCAAGAAGGAAATTCTTCATCGACAAGAAAACAACGAAAATACACCTAGAATTCATAAAATATATGGTGAGCAAAGATTTATCTTATTGAATTGTGTTATATTTGAAGACGGCCCAAATTTTAACATATTTGGGTCCGCTAGGCGAACATCTGTGAAGCGAAAGGCAAATGAAGAACTGAATCTGAAAGACGTATTGCCTAGTGTTAAGCATGAAGGTAGAAACATAATGGTTTGGGTAATATTTCGAAGCCTCTGGGATGGAAAATTTACTTTTATACAAAATAAAATGGACCGCTATAAAAATATAAATACTCTTAATGAAAACCGGAAAGCATTTGAAAAAAAAGAAAAAAAAAACTTAGAATGCAAAATACATTCAAGTTCTGTTAGGATAACGATCCTAAACACACAGCCCTAAGTGTTCGCTTGTGATTATTATACAGTTCTACTGAAGTTATCAAAACTTCTCTATATTTTTTGGATTTTAAATTATCGACGAATATGGAGTGAGTTAAGAAAAGGATAATTAAACTTGTAATTTCTTCAGAAGCTCTGTTAAAACCAATTCTTACGAAGGAATGATACATTCATACTCGAAAAGTTAGTTAAATCTATGCGAATGTGCATGAAAAGTGTAATTTTAGCTAAAAGTTATGTAACAAAGTATTGGATGAAATATTGTAAAGTTTTTAGTAAGTATAAACTACTTTTTCAAAGTGCCCGAATACTTATGTATGTTTATTTTTATAACTTTTTGAATAAACTATTTTTCTATCAAATCAGGCAGATTTTAATAAAAACGGTCAGTTAGTATACGTGAAAGAAAACAGTCCTTTCGTTGATATTCAGCAACTGATGCTTGCAAATAAAACTTAAAAATACAAGTGTCAGAAATAAAATGTGAACTATTGTAGTTAAATTTTAGAAGGAAAACATTGCAGAGTTTAATGTGTGTAGATATTACCCAACGTGACCAAACTCTTGGTAGACGTTAAGTTTTATTGGAATGGTGTTATTCCCAGACTTTTGTTACTTCCAGACTAAATTCTTATTCAGTTTTAAATAAAGACTCTTTATTTAAAACTGAATAAGAACAGAAAGCACTCCTGGTGCTTATAAATCTGCCAGCATTTATGGCGAGAACATAAAAGCAGTAGGTCAAATGTAAAGCTTAAATTTAAATAAACTAATAGCCAAAGCCTACACAGAGCAAATTAAGGTGAGGTTGGCTCAGAATTTCACCGGCGTGGATTTTAACTATCGGCAATTATAAATCAAGGGCGAAGTAAGAACTCTTATGTATAATATCAACCTAGTAACGTGGCCACGAGAGACAGAACACGTTCTGTCTTACAAATCTCAAAACCTCACTTTAAATACACGCGAACTAAATCTGCATTCTGGCAGTAAAACGGAAAGGAAGAAGTGACATAACTGGTTAACAAAACTTAACTGGTAAATAAAATTAAAGGAACCTCACTACATGATTGGATAAAAATGATAATTAATAAAATGCGATTTATGTAAAAAGTTATTAAATACTCACACATACAGAAGTTTCTAGCTATAAATTTCATTTTAAGAACAGAAACTGTAGAATTCGTACGGAAAGTTTTCACGTTCGAAAACAAAAAATATATCAACACTGCAACATTTTCCCCACAGTACTTTGCCACTTAATATCGTGTGAAACGAGAGAGTTAGCGTGAGACCGTGTGATAAAGGAAGCAGACGTATCCTCTTTTAGGGGAAAAAAACAAGGAAAAAAAAAGGAAAACAGCAGTATCTGATTCTCTGTGAAAGTTTATCCCAAAACCGGAATTTCTACGCTTTTACAGGAAATGTCTAATGCAGCTGCTAAGAAATGAAGGAAGCATGGTATTATACCCGTCGAATTTCTATAAGGTCACACTGCTATGAAGTCGGACGTTGTTAAATCTCAGCAAAATGAAGGAAAGATATATGCTTATCAAAGATATGAAAGATAGAAATATTTTATCAAAGATCTTCAGTGAAGGTTTTTTTTTTAAACTTAATCTGTTCTAAAAGCGATGAAAATAAACAAAAATAAGTTAGCAAATTTTCATATGTTTATTTTTAGTCCTTCAGGGACTTCTATTGTTTTCGTTTTGTCATTTTGCGTTGAATCATTATAAACGGCGAATCACTTTTCAAACTGCTCCTACCAAATGTTAGAGCCCTGCATTATATTTGAAGAAATTAAATAATAAAGAATCTGCATAAATGTATGTATATTTCTCGCATTGTGTTAAAAAAACGGTAGCTGGAGCCATTCCATTTTGAATGACGTAATCCTACTGCGAATATGGGCATCTGAAAGACCAAATTTGAAGTTTGGAATTTGTTTTATTATCGATTTCATATTTTGTAAAACATTAACGAAATTTTTATTAACAAACTCAAGAATTTCAAAGAGAGCAATGGCAACGTTGTACAGAAAAATATTTTTATCTCCAGCGTGCAAGACTGTGTAACGAAAATTCTAAAGATATGCTCATTTTAAAATTGTTTTGCGATATTGCTGTTGAAGTGAATTTTATGGTTTGAGTACGTAGAATATGATATTTAATAAATAAAGGTAACACACAAAACGTTAAAAAAGCGCCGCTTTAGATGTGATCTGAAGCCTTTCAGATTTTAATTTTTTTATTTATAATTTGTTGTAATCCAGAAAGATGTGTAACATCATTCAATGAGTCTTGAATTTTTCATTGAGGAAAATTATTGTAAATGAGTACATATTGTAACTTTATATTAATATGTACCTTAGTCTGGCGTACATTCTAAATGACAGCCCAAAATACTAAATCAAAATGAGGGAAAAGCATGCCTTAAATTGTAAAATAACGTACTATTAAACTATTTGAGCGTTATTGTTTTTGCAAAGAAACACTTGAAAAAAGATTTTAGCAAACAATATTTTAGCTTTCCCTTTATTTTAAAATCATTATCTTTCATCATTAAGTAATCTATATGTATAGATGTATGCATGTACTAATGTTTGTATGTTCCTTGCACTGTGGAAAAATAGTGGGGCCTAGAGCTACCTAATTAAGAACGCACTTAATTCATGAATAGAACATGTGTAACTCGAACCGCAAATTTTGAATTTCGAATTAGTTTTTTTAAATTTATATCACGTTTTGTAAGAATTTAATGAACTTTTTATTAACAGAGTCAGCTATTTGAAAGCGAACAGTGGCAAAACTGTTCGAAATTTTATAATTTTCTCTCCAACGCGCCAGACAGTCACCATTCTTATAAAATTAAGATCTCACTTTTAATCAACGAGCTCGGTTGTTTAAAAGAAACTAGTTGCCACTTCCAGAAATAAATTACTTTTTTCTACGCGCCAGCCCGTTGCCATTTAACAAAGGTGAAGGATATTTAATTTTCATTTTTAATTTCTCTGTTACTGATTAGCAAACTATGCGATTTAAAAGCGTAAATATGGTTTTTCAGAATATTTTTTCTTTTTTCGTAATCTTATTGCTATGGTAAAAATTCACTGAAATCATAAGATGTTTAATTAGAAATATTATAAATTTTTTGAAATCACACTAGTTGGAAAGTCATTATATATTTTTCCTCTTTTATGATTACTATTTTAGTCGGCTAGAGGCCCAAGTGGCTAATAAGACTAAATAACGACTTAAACTAAAATAATGAAAAGATTTTAAAAATTCGGAAAGTTGAACTACTCAGATAATTAAATGATATATGAAGGTTTTGGCTGAGAAATTAAATGAGCTTTTCATGAGAAGGGACATATTTTTAGTGGTTTCTTTATAAAAGAATACTTATAATGCCTTGCTTTAATTCTTTTTGATTTAACTGCTGTCTTATTTTTCATAGCTTTTGCTGTCTCGCATCTCGTAATGAATATCTCAAATAAATAAATATATGATAAAGACAAAAGTAGGGAAGAAATAAAATTATTTTCGAGATTAAATCACTAAAATAAGAAATGGGAAAACAATACTCATATTATCACATAACTCTTACCACTTTTTTATCTTGCTAAGGTGAATAAGTATCAGCTAATCAGTATTTCGCAGACACTTCGTCTTCTTACAACTCGGGCAGACAAAGTAAACATCTGAAAGAAAACAAAATTTTTAACGTGGCCAAAAGAATCTTTTTGTTCTAAGCGAATAAGTTACTCAATTCTTTTGCTTACGCAAAATGAAATTTAAAAGGCAAATGTAAGGAGCTATTTATCAGACACATTTTATCTAACAATACAGCTTATACAGAAATTTTTCTTTATTTATCTTCAAAATTTTGTAAAATATATGAAGACGTTTACCATGCTTCTTAAAAACAAAATTAAAACAAAAATGTCAATGAAATCCAAATAAATCCTTATTCACTTTTATTGTACTATTTGTATTTTCCATATTATTTCTTCTTATTTTTCTAATATTATTATTTACATTTATATTAATTGCAATGTTTCTATTAAAAGTGACATGCGACGGAGGACGTGGGCACATCCCTAACCACACGGTTAATCGGTATAGCGCCACGTCACTTTATCTATTTGCCTAAATACATGATACTAAACATAGCATAAGAGACATACATAAGAAACAACTGGCATATTTCAATGCCTAATACATCTTACGTAGAACATGGGGTGCATGAGATTATAGGGTACATTCATAAGAACATATCTAAGGTGACATACATTGGGTGACGTACACATACTTATGATATAAGATATTAGGAGCAAATCAGTTAAATAAGATGCATTACAGGGTTATGCGAGATATTTTAGAATAGCAGAAAATACAAATATTGGCAGATCCAGGATGCATGATACGTAGAACTAAGGCGGTAGATACATAGGTGACAATATAAGGACATCACAAGATGACATACACAACTAAGAAAAGAGGTTCAAAATAGTTCGTATTAAAGGATGATACGAGATATATGATAATTATTACACATGAACAATATATTTGTTAAACTACAGGGTTACATTTAACAACATAGTTACGTATTAGGATGTGCAGATGTATACTACAGCTGCAGACGATATACTAATATAGAAACCAAGATGCATGAATACATAATACATATTAAGGATGATACGAGATATATGAAACATATACGGATGCGAGATATAAATATACAGGTTCATTTTACAATATAGGTTACGTATTGCAGGATGTCACAATATATGATACAAGGGCAGACAATACTATTATAGGCAACCAAATCCAGGTACATGATACATGGTGCAGAATATGTTACATGCTACGGGATGATACGAGATTATATATGCAGATGCCAGGATACATGGTACTGGATCCAGAATAAGTTACATAACTAAAATTTTGCGAGATATATGATACTAGGTGCTGGATGTACAAATTTATGCTAATACCAAGATACTTGATACAAGGCGCATGATAAGTTAAATGAATAAGTTACATGATACAAGATGATACTAGATAATATATGCGGATGTCAGAATACATGATACAAGGTGTTGAATAGTTTGCATGATACAGGATGATACGAGATAAATGATAGTGCAGAAGATATATATATGCAGATACAGACATGCAATTCCGGTACAGTTCAGTTAGTTACAAAATACGATAATTGGCATATACTTTCGTTAATAATGCTTGTATATACATGCATAGAACTATCATGTTGTAACACATTCAATTATTCAAGATTTTCAAGGTATTAGATACTGGTTCCAGTACTAAATCGCTATTTGTCTATTGTGGCGTCTGTGAGTTTGGCTAATTGGCACAGATCCATTTATCTCTGCCAGTTTGCCCATTAGGAATCCATTTTCTGATCAGGTGCCTTTGCTTTATTAAAACTTACAGAAGGCGTCGATTTGTGACGGAAGTTGACGTGAAGCTCTTCTGTACGGGACAGGATGTTAGGTAGTGCTCCGGAGCGCCGTCTGTCCCAGTGCACTGACTGGTATGGCTTATGCGAATCTGTTGAAATATTCTGAAATGTCCATGACCCGTAGTACGAGATCAGTTGCGTGTTAGCAATGTTCCTGGTGGTATCCACGTAGCTGATGTGGTAATGAGCCCGGCTCCCATTTCGCTATTGTCCCATGTCTGCTGCCATAGCCAATTGCCTTTAAACGCAGAGTCTCTTCAGGAATGAGACAGGCCATGGGATGTCAATTTGTAAATTGGTCAGTCCTGTAGCTGCTTCTTTGGCGAGATGGTCTGCCATTCATTACCGTGGTAGCCTGCTACGCTTTTATCTATTCCAATTTGGTACGGAGAGATGGATTTTTCCGCAGGTCTTCTTGGACACCTTGTATTATGCCGGAAGATGTCCGGATTTTTCTATTGCATACAGGATTGGAGAGCTGTCGGTTTTGATAGTAATTTGCGGATGTTGTGGGATTGCAAGTAGGAATTGCTTCCGCAATCGCCACTGCTTCCCCGAAATCGCTATTATTTTGCCGCGGTGTCCCTCCATTGGTCTTTTATTGTACCTTTTGCATAACTACAACGCACTTCCCACTTTTTCGTCATTTTCGAACCATCCGTGCGATGGTGTGCTCAGATGGTGAGTCGTAGTGGGACTGATGGTAATATTTACTTTCCTGCCTTTGCCGTGATGACACTGAACTGGCAGCTGTTGGTTTCGTATCCTCCGGATTTTTAAAAGTAAACAAAAAATAAATTCTATCTATATCTTATATATATATGTCATGATCAAATGAATGATTTGAGCTTGGCGTAATAGATGAGTAGCGAAAAAATTTGGCAAGGCAAACATGTCCGGATTCAAGATAACTTTATTATTGAAGAAAACAAGTCGGGATTCACAATATTTGGTTCACATACGGACGAGCGTCTTATGCGCTGTACATTTTTAGATCAGCACATATCCTCGAACAAAGAAAGTAGCGGCAAAGCTTAAGCGAAAGCTGCAGCACACACATAATTGCAGAAAGACGTCTGGCCCAGATGAAAGCACAAGCAAAAGTGACGTATCAGTTCATAGAAAAAAGGGAGGAAGTGAAAAGTTTCAGCTCTAAGCTTTGGTTTACAATTAGGTGATTGATCAAGAGGCATCTGCATTAAGGGTTACGTAAAATCACATGATTAATTTAAATGACGCAGTTTAGACTAAAGAGCTATTTATGACGGATAGATTAAGTTCCCAAATGAAATAAAAATAAAAGATGTTATGGAGAATTAAATTTAGAAGCTTGCTTTCATATTTTTTTATCTTACACATATATATACACACGCACAGCACAATGCTTAAAACGTCTTCTCACTTTTCTAGTTGCACAAACATCAGTTCTGCTCTATTTTCCAAACCCACGAAATTTTAATTTGTTTCTTTGTGTAATATGAGACAATTTTACTTGCTATATAAAATTTTTCAAGAGTTATAGTAGTGTTAGGTTAAAATATTTGCTGTTAATCTGTTAAATCATCGAAGTCTATCAATAGCATTGTCCCTTCAAAATGTGTTACTAATTTTCTAGTTAATATGGATTAAGTGTCATATATCTATTGTACTGAAAGTAAATAAAATGATGCAAATTAATTTACTGTGAACGGTATCATTCGCAGTTACATTATCAGCTAAAACTGCGGATATTTCGCTACTTTTTCTGAAGTATGGTACGAAAACGGTTTGCGTCTTTAAAATACAAACTGCCCGCACAAATACAGGTATAATACCACATTAAGGCACAGCATTAAAACTACTTTCACTATTTATGAATTTAGTAAAGAAAGTAGTTTAAAGATGATGTATACCACTGTATGATTGAAAAAGGATTTACAAAGAGCTTTAAGAAAAATAAAATGCAATATTAAACAATTCCGATATACGTTGACGTATATAATAATCGCTGTTACTTGAGTTAGAAAGCTACAGAAATGCCTCTTTTAGCAGAAGCACTACCAAGGCAAAGGGTATCTGGAAAGAATTACTCGCTTGTTTAGTTTTACTATTACCTAAAATAATCACCTAGCTAATTTGAAAAGAGACTTCAAGATAAAAATGTTTTTTTTTCGATGCTCTTTTGATATGGATGTTACCATTATTCTTTCATCAACTTCTTTCAAATTTTCATAATGTGAAGATTATGAATGCTGCCATTCTAACTTCTAAATTCACGAATGGTCAGGATTCGTGGCAGTTTACAAGAACGGTATTATAAGAATTACAAGAATAGGAGCAATACACAATTATTTTCACGACATTCGAATTAAATCAGCTCGTTAACACGTTAAAAAATGTGCTTTTGAAAAACGAAGAAGTTGATGAATATGTCACAAAACTGTAAATATGAAAATTATCTTAAATAATCAGGCAAATTTAGCCTCCATAGTTGTTCAATGTCAGAAATTTTGTGACTGAATATCCCCCCTTTTTTTCAGATGTTCTTTGAAGTGAATCAGTGAACGAATTCCGCCGACAAGGAAAGAACACATGCTAAAACTTTAGATATAACAAAAGGAGATACCGCGATGATATAACACATTTAAGATTGACAATGAACACAGCATGCACTTAATAATATTCGTCTAAAGATAATTTCGTATCACTGACAATTGTTCATGCTGTACGTGATAATATTCTTCAACGAAGAGCGTCTTTCAAGTATGGAAGAAACGACAGCGAAGTTT